GCCGGACAACAGCGAAGCTGTTACCATCACCAAAGTTGGTGGGCGCTGGTGGTGGTGGTGGGGTTCAAACCTCGGACCCTATGGTCCAACGCACCCTGGTGATAGCGACTTAAACCATCTGACCATACCACCATTATCCTTGTCTTTTCTCATCTGTCTGTCCATCCATCCATCATTCACTTCCCCTATCCCGAAAGGTCTCATGTGCGCGATTCATCACGCAGAGCCAGCTTGCTAGGCTCTCAGTATTTATATATATTTTCACACACGGCTGAATCCAGACTGTGTCCCAAACACATCAGTGTACAATAATCTTTACAAAGAGAAAAACGTTCCATGTGAGCGGAATACTGCCAGGTTACCCAGGCCAAGGCAGGTGAATTTTCTTGAGAATCTCACAACCAGATCCTATGGTTAGCCAAAGCCTGATCCCCAAGGCAGCGGGGTGGTGTGAGAAAACCGCGATCCATTGGGAGCCGGTGTCCAGTTCGTCGGATCACGCCCTTCGGATGGGATGAAACGTCCAAGGTGCCCAATGCATCTCGATGCCCAATCGAGCCGGTGACCAGTGCCACAACAGGAAGTTGTGTGTGTGTGTGGTTCGTACGCCTCTTCCTGGTTGGTTTGGAATCAGGGTTTTTGGCCAACTCCCCTAGGTGAACTACCTGTGGTTCACCAACCGGGTTATAGCCCCGGATTTCGGCGTTGTGTCCTCTCACTTTGGTGGGAAAACACCTCCTGCAGAAGAAGGCAGTGAGAAGGGCTTCCTCAACAGAGGCTATTTGGGACGTTTGGTCTAATGGGAGTATTTCGCGAGGTGCAAGAGAAGGGTGATCAGCCACAACCCTAGAAACCCACTCCCAACCCTACTGAGGCTTTCGGAGGCACTAGACTGCCGGGATTGAACCGCACTTGATAAACGGTCACACGCAGACCGCACTCAACTGTCCAAAGAAGTTCAGAGACTTATCAAAAGGATCATCTATCTGATTGATTGTGCGCCCAAGAAACGAAAAAGGAATGGGGCAAACATGTTCTACTCTGCAGATTCAAAACAGTCTATAGCATACGTGATGCATCATTCGTACTTAGATCATACAGTCTAGTTCGTCTCGCTTCCTCTAAACTAGGTTATTATAGCATCTTGATTCTGTGTCAATTAGAACAACTGCAACGTGCATTATCCAATAAATTTGTTTGGGATACAATCGTGAATTAGTGACATCATTTTCAGTTACTACAATCCATTTAGTTCATTTTTTCTTTCAGTAGACTCTGTCTCTTGGTTAAGCATCCTTGTCACATTGTTTAGCATTCCGTGGTCATCTGCTCTTCACTGTGTAACGCTCTCCTATTCCAAAATGGATGAAAGTTCAAATAGTATAAACTTGACGTGCTTTTGAGCAAATGATCTGTTTATTAGGTTATCACAGAGCTACAGACTCTAATTCCCTCAGCAGGGTTACTTCCCCGGTCCGGAAAAGGATTGCAATGCATCATCATGTTCTCTTTATTCCAAGTTCAATACACCTTCGGTGAGCATGGTGAAAGGTAGGGTTGTAAACGAGCCTAGACACGGCGCGACGAAGCTAAAAATGCTGAGAAAACCTACAGTTCGACCAAGTCACAAAACATTTTGTGTAAATCTACTTTCGCAACGAGAATAATCTCAAGCTCCTAGCGTGGATTGATTCCCCATCGCCTTTCCCTCACTTCTCACTCTTCTATTCCTCCACTACGCACCAGATCCCAATCCCCCGGCCACCGCGGAGATTGTCGAATTGTACAATAGTCTGCGTTCGAAAATCCTCCTCCTCTACGATCTGCGCTTAGTTCATTTGAACTGTGATTTCGAACTTCAAGCTGCTCGTTGGCGTTTGGATACCTTCGCTCCCGATCAGGTAAATCGATTCGTTGTGTTCTACATATGTTGATTCTGTTCCTTTCTCGTACACGCGCAGTCCGTGCAAATCCATTGTATTGACCGATTGTCCTATATGCAGGTATATGCCTAAATCTTAGTTAACAAAAGCAACACGTAATGCGGTTGTAGAGAAGAACAAAACAAAAAGCGAATAATGACATTTTCGTCCGATTAGTAGTCGCTCTATCGTTGTCAGGGCAGAATTAGGCCGAAAAAGCACAACAGGCTATCTGTATTTATAAGCAGAAATAGGCAGAAAAGGGAACTCGGTTGAAGGACAGAGAGGTGAATTAGATGGAAGAGGACGGGATTAATATACGTGGATCTTGTGATCTTGCTCTTTTTATAAGGAATGTTGTACCGTGATTTGTTTGTATATGCATACCTGACCAGAAATTTTGTCCAGTCGTTCATATACCACTCATTATATATGTACATATTTATATGCAAAGAGATGTCCCTTTACTGCGACGTTACAGTAATAGTATGCGATACTGCTGTTTTCACACCCCGGAAAATTTTTCATTTTGATTACATTAAGTTTCCGTTCACTCATTCTGGGTGAGAAAAGGCTAACATGCAACTTTCCGCATATATTGCAGATATCCTGGATGTTGTTATTTGACTAAAACGAGGATTGTTCCAGTTTTGCTGTACATCGCAGGGATGTTCCCGTTACCTGTAGAATGTACCTAAAGAACTAAAGGGTTTCGGGGCACTGTTTGTAGAATTTGGAGCAGATTAGGTTTAGGTTTATGGCTTTAGTTGGCCGAAAATCGGGCCAGATCGTCGTAGATCACACTAGTTGGGTACGCACTGGTTAAGTCGCTGTCACCGGCGTGCTTTGGACCTCCATGGTTCCTGGTGCGAGCCTTGCCACCGCCACTCAACTTTGGTGAAAGGCAGCTTTGCTTGGATTAGCCCATTCGACTGCTCAGAAGCACCGCATAATTCTGTTGCCGATTCACATCCAGTTGATGTGGTGTACAACCGGAGGACATTTTCATGCGATCGGCTGCGGCCCCATGACAGAAAGTCGTTTAGGCTCATTTTGTCACACATTCGGTCCCTTGATCGACTGCACAGCCGTTTGGTACTTGTCATTCATATTTCACTATTGTTAACGTCTATATACTGATCCATTGTTATCTTTTTTCAGCTGAGGAGTATCGATTTCGGCCGCATCGAGCCGTGTCCACACATTGCCTCGTCCCGAAATTTTGGCAATCTGCATTTGTCTCATGTACACATACGAATTTGTACTTACTTGTTTCCTCGACTCCTTGTTCCACTTTCAGCCATTACCTCGTGGTTTGGCCAGTGTGACTGTTCCTACTCCACCCAACGCGAGTCGTCCTGTTGCACCGGGGCAAGGGAACGATTTAGATAATCCTAGTTCAACCATGTCCTCGGCAATTACAACCCAAATCGATCCGGCCATTTTAACTGCTCTACGGGAGTGTGATTCAAAGCGTCCCATTGTACCGCGCTATTCTCTTGGGGTTGCCGGAACGTTGGCTGCTGCCGCTGGCACAGCTGGCCTGGCAATGGCCGTTTCAAACCATGCTACCGGTGGAGCTCTAGGCTCCGAGGCTCAGGGCGCGAATCTTAGCGGCTCAACGCGCAAGTCTACCTGTCCGTCACCGAAACTTACTGCTCAGTCTCCGGACTCAGTCACTCTGTCCGCAGCTCGGTCTCCTTCTGTACATTCCCAATCAACTTCTGATTCACCCGCACCACACCGTGCTACTCCATCTCGTTCGGTCAGTGGTGGTAGTGCTCCCGGTGGTTCGTCTGTCCTATCCTCAGCCCCGTCCACCACAGAAGGTGCGCCGGAAAGCGCCCAACGTCGAAGACGTGCAGCCGCATTGGAACAGAGTAGAGTCTTGAAAAAACTGAAAATAAAGGGTCATTTAGTTGACTGATTCGGCTCTATGTATCCTTGTTTGATCTGCCGGTGGTATATAGTGTTTGCATGCCCCTTTCTTTTCCCACAACTTGTACAGCATGTTCAATTTTGTCAGTAATACACTGCTTATATTATTTGCCCATGTCATTTAATCTATTCAGGTACTAAATCCCCAGTTCCGCAACGCTGCTTGTAAAAGCGATCGAGCGAAGCACTTCGGTGCTAACATCAGTAATGTCTTTCAGATGATCAGAGATTGTGTTTGTTTTCTGTAGCGGGAATACCGCTTGGTCTGTGAGGGTCCCGCCTAGCTGTGCAAAATTATGGGAGCATCTTTACATAAATTTGCTGAGTAATAATTGGAATGCCATTTTGCACCCATGTTCAAAGATTATGCGCCGACTTCTACACACTACATTCTATGATCTTTCCAGAAAATGACATTTTTTGGTGTAAAACTTGGTACCCAGGTGCCGAAATCTTCGAATGGGCTATTAAGATTGTGATCCTATTAGTTGAGCGTTCACAATTGGATCGTTACGGTTGATGGCAGACTAAATAATTAATATTTCTCCGATTAGCTTCCCCTGTCAGTAGATCGCCTACGCCGGTTATCTGTAGTTGTTGTTTGGTGATCATTCGAACAGGTCACCGGACGGAAGTAAAATCCGAAATTGAACTTGGCGTCACTAGTGCACGAAGCGCTTCCATGCAGCTTCAAATTTTTTTTGTGATGACAAAAAACGAGATCTGCTTTCGAACCTAGAAATTCGCCTTTCGGTTCAGAAATAGGGTTCCGAAATCTGATCGGTACTCTTTTGGTAGCGGGCAAATGATTTGATAAATGATGTATGTTCCACCATGACATCCCTTCATATTTTTCACACACGTCTGAGACAAGACTATGTGCAAAACAAATCAGGATGCAATAATCTTGATCAGAAAAAAGTTCCTTGATTCACATTTGGGTAGAATACAGCCAGGTTGCCCAGGCCAAGGCAGGTGAGTTTTCTTGAAGAATCCACAACCGGACCCTTCGGCTAGCCAAAGCCTGACCCCCAAGGCAGCGGGGCGGTGGGAAAACCGCAATCTATTGGAAGCCGGTGTCCAGTTGATTGAATCAATCNNNNCCCTTCGGACGGGGTTAAACGTCTAAGGTGCCCAATCGAGCCGGTGACCAGTGCCACAGCCGTTAAGGTTTGTGTATGTGGTTTGTACGCCTTCTCTTGATTGGTTTGGAATCTGGGTTTTTGGACAACTCCCCGTGGTTCATCAACCCGGTTATATCCCCGGATATCGGTTTTGTGTCCTCTCACTGTGGTGGGAAAACTCCTCTGCCACGAGAAGGCAGTCAGTAGGGCTTCCTCAGCAGAGGCTATTCGAAAGATGCTTGGTCTAATGGGAGTATTTCGCGAGGTGCAAGGGAAGGGTGATCAGCAACTCTAGATACCCACCCCTGACCATACTGAGGCTTTCGGAGGGAGAGCCAGAAAGGCGACCATTTCAATCTTTTTGCTAGTTTCCGTATTCGTGGCTATTCTGTTAGGGTTTCATGTGGTTTTCTTAGGTCGTTTATTGTCACCTAATGAGCAATAGGTTCTCATGAGCCAGAGGTCTACTGATGATCACACATGGATGTGTAGTGGAGTAATATATCGAACAAATCACTGCAGTTTGATGTCTCGTACCCTGTGGTTTTCAATGATCACCAAATGAGTCAGATACATTTACCAATATGAATATAATATTTACCTGGTCCTTCGGTAAATTGATTTGGAAACCTAACCTTCACACCCCAATCTTCAGTTCATTCAAACAACCGTACACTTAAGAATTATCAGAGGCCTGAGTTATGCTCTCATTCTATTCCGTCGGATATGCGCGTTCAAAGAAATATACTACTTATAAGTAACCTAAATCGATCTGACCTCACATTCAGTAAAGTCGAACGTCTTTCGTGCGTCATCCCCAAAGTTTTAACGTAATTCAACTAGATACTAAATACGATTCATCTGTGTTTCCACCACGTGGGATACTGAGGTGGATATTGGTAAAAAGACGATCTGGTGTGATTCATCCACACGATCAGGTTTTGAATTTTATAAGCGAAAAGGTCAATACCCTCAGTTGCATGATTGAAATGTCTATGACCAATCCTGACCCCAGGATCGTGAAATCATTATGCTTTATTCTCGAGGTGGAAAAGATGAGAGAAGTTGTTACTTGCTATAGGCATTGTATTCCAGACTATGTCGAGCAGATCTTGGCACAATCCTTTATTAGACAAAGAAATCACTAATGATTTATTCGTGGAGCTTCCGATTTTTGTGAGCTTAACTTGCTGAGAAGAGGCGTGGACGCCTGCATCCAGCTAATCAAATCATATTCCCATCAGATATGGTTCCCACGTACACGGTGCTCAATGCCCTCTATCACCCAGCCACGATTGTCAACCGGATGTCTCAGAGTCAGTACGCATTCGTCATCATGAGAGGCTGGGACTCGGGGATTTTCAGCTGGGCCACAAAAGATGCGCAACGATGACCATTCCTCGCATTGATTTAACGATTTATTCGAAATACGAATTGGACGATACTGACCAATTTGGTTTTGTCTTTGTAATTCTGAGCTTGAAAAAAGTGAATAATCCAAGTGATCGCTTTTCCTGATGAGGAACCGTTTCGTAATGGCTTAAAAAAACATCAAAATAGCTGTTATTAGTCCAACCCCTTAGATAGTGTCAAATTTATGAGCTCACGTGTTGAATGATCAACACTTGCATTGACTCATTACGTTCGGTTTTCGTTTGTTTTACATCGTCTTACCTACCCTAAATCGATTTACGATTGAAGTGTGCGTATATAAAAGCACTAAATCGCCTTCATCAGTTTGATGAGTGCGCACGCCAGTCAGTTTTGAATATTCTCGGATTGTGAAGAGTAACGAGCCTCACTGGGACTCGAGCCCATGTATGGACGCCACTACTAATTTTCCCCTTTTGCATACTTTACTAGTTGTGCTTTGAAACCACTGCACTATCCAAACATTAAGCTATCTTCCAGATATTATAATTCTAACACTAAACTCAGCCGTGGATGATTGTTCGGTGGATTGTAAAGAAAACTTGGCAGGATAGAGAACTTTAATGCTACTTCATGGTACCCGGAATGTGAAATGATTAGTGCTCTCGGTGTGGCCTAATAACTCAGCTGATGGGGCTGGCGTTCTGCAAAATCGAAAGAAGCCGTTCATTTTTGTGTTCAAATCTCGTAGATCATCTCAAAATCCGTTTCATTAACTCTCAAATAGCGTTAATGTTAATGTGGATCACATAAACTTCAAGATAATAATAGTTTTATCTTAGCAATACAACAATAAAGTGGAATATCCTCGTTTGTATCTAAGGAAGTTATTCTTGGATGATTCAACCCCGACGAGTCACTAGGACTCTTCTATTATCATACTCCGATTTCAAATTTTCGTCATGGGTAAAATACGAAATTCATGCTTATTGAATCCCGTGGGATCTGTACCCATTAGGTCCGGTTGGTATTATGTATTATTATGGTAAATTATAGCGTTCACTCACGGGTACTGTATAGTTATGTGTTTCAAGGTTTTAGCGGTGGATATTGTGTGTAAGCGCACTGCTTTGGAGGGGTTAGGGGGCACACAATAGATTACGCTGAAAGCGGATTCTGGTCTAATTTCATGGCCTGTATCCACTAAATGACCAAGAATGGCGCTTCCTATGCTTCCTGTTCCACCTTGTTTTAACTAGCTTGGGCAGTGTTCCTTCATCTGTTAGGATGGCTGTGACCAATGTACGTTGCATTACAAACGCACCGGAAAGAGTAGATAACCATAGGAGTGCCCAGCGTAGGCAGTCTATCTTTGTGGCTAGTTCGGATGATGGGCGAGTCTGTAAATACACACGATAAACGAGTTGCGTTGTAGGTCCGCTTCACTGCAGGAAAGGCGACAATCCGAACAGGTTTATTTGGCCCAAAAGAAGAAGCTATTCATTCGCCTACCTTTTCAAGGAGATGCTATATCAGACCTCTTGAACAAACGTCTGACGTGTGCAGTGAAGCGGATCATGTCTGTCCCTATTCGACGGTATTCAGATAAATACAGTCCGAGAGTTTGCAGCCTTTCACCCTAGAGTGTGACCCTTTGGCCATTTTGGTTGCTGTTCCCTGTGGATATTTGGGCGCATTTCGATTGCGAATTAACCATGGATTCTAATTTCATAGGATCACTTCTGCAGTCAATTTTGTACATAGGTGAAATGATACCGTGTTTCCCGGACTGGGGGATCTTCGTCTTGCCGAACATGGAATGTTATAAGTGTGTAATTTGCCAAGGACGTCAAGGTCTGTGGGCGAATGTTGTCTTCCCCCCGAGAGATGAATCCTTACGCAGCGCCAATAGTTTATTTTCTTACCGTTTCTGATTTGAAGTTGACGGTGGTCTACTGGAGGTATGGGACACTTGACAGAAAGTATGGAAGCTGTAATCCAACTTTGTCCACTTCATTGCACACCACATAGAACTGGACTTTTAGGAATTCGGCTACTTCAGACGTAGTAGTGGGAACGCGTCCTGCATACCTTAGTGCCGGTATTCTGGATTTCACCATTCTGGTGGCATTGATATGCTCATATAGGTGCTTTAGATTGGAACTAACTTAATGTACCAGGGTTCTTCAAAATCGCCGTTTATTCACTCAAGACGATTTTACAAAAAAAGATTTCTCGAAGTTATCTACCTAACCCAAGCGTCGGCATTGGACATCTTTTAAACGCTCACCCGGAGGAATTCCTTTGTGACATCCATTTATTTGTTCGAATGCGACTAGGTAATAACCGTGTAGGTGATGTACCGAATAGGCTTGACTTTTCTAGCAACTTTATGATTTCTTTTAGAGTATCAATAAATCTTTTTCGAGGACTGGATAAAGCTGTTATTCTGGGCGAGTCCACGGCTTAAAAGCAACAAGGTTCAAAACTTTTC